GGCCTCACTTGTAGATCACCATGGCACGCTGAAACCAATGCCACTGACTATGTAGCCCTGGGTGCTTCAACAAAAGATTTGCCGCTTGCTCCATTTCCTTTCGCATCAAGGACACGCATGGATGCACTGGATCCTCAAGCTCCTCCCAGCCATCGGCAGGAGAAGGCGCCCTTTCGAACTTCCATGGGACATCCTGCTCACCATTTTGGATCATCACCCGCACCATTGCTAGGGATAGGGACATTGAGGAAAAGACATTTTCAGCACCTGTGGCTGATCTGCAGCCAAGAAGTGCTGTATGCATTTCCTCAAATCTGCTAGCTGCCTCCCATCCGCCATGATGCAATCGCAGCGTTTTGTGGTGGCGCCTTTGGCGGTGGCGTTTACAATGGGTTTCCATCGCCCGCGCACCCCAACAGGTTAGTAAATGGGCAGGCGCAGCGTTTTATGCCGGTGTCACCTGTGCCTGTGGCGTTTGCAAGTGGTTTGGGGGGCCTCCGCGCCCAAGAGGTCAATGGGCAGGCTATGTTTTACGACGGTCCCCGGTTTCAGTGGCCCCTTTTACAGGTTACATTCCTTCCTTCGCTAGTTCACGATTTCATTCAGGCGCTCATTCCAACACACCGAACTTGCAGTCCAGAAAACAAAAAACATCGTGAAGGTGAGAAGACATTCAAAAGTCACTGAGGCTCAGGGCGTTCATCTGGAAGCCGGTCAAGACGCTCCATGCGCCCCCGGTTAGGCTGCAGAAAGACATCGAAGATGAGCAGGCAAGCGACAAGTGACAAGAAACTGCATTCCTCTACGCAAGACAAAACTCATCGCACAGCCCTTGAGAAGGCGCGCTACAGGAAAACAGCGTTGCACCTCACAAAAAAGAACGGGTCATGATTGCTTTCATCTCCCGAGCATGAACTTTGCAATGCTCTGACATAGTGGCTGCAACAGAACAAACCCACTTGGCCCAAAACAAACTCATGTCGAAAGAAATGGACAAATTATCTTGAGGCACTCCTCTCTCTCGCTCTCTCTCTCTCTCTCACTCACTCACTCACTCACTCACTCACTCACTCACTCACTCACTCACTCACAGTGCGGGAACAAAAAACATGCCTACCACACACACGCATATAGCTTTCGAAACCTGAGAAGAATCACCACAAAAGAGAAAAACACACACTTGACAGCTTGGAAACAGACTATTGATATCCTATAAAACATCATAACAGACTAGGAAATAGCCTATTTAGTGTAATAGGAAATTTGATCTTATCATCATACATGGTCCGGGTTGGGGACCAGGCGTAGATGCTGGCTGCTGCGGCCTCATTCCCGGCGTCCCATGCTCCCCCTCGATGTCTGCGCTCCACCCTCCTCGACAAGAAGACTGGCGCGCTCCGCCCTGCCCGGCCGGCGTCGTGGCGGATCCTCCCCTCACAGAGGTCCTCCCGCTCTCGGGGTCCTCCACCCCGAGCTGCCTCCCTGAGCCGGCTCTGTACATACTAGTGTGCATTGCGTGAGTGGGAGGCTGTTTTGTGGCAGCGGAGGGTAAAAGCATTGTGTTTTTTTGGTCATTGCTGCGCAGCATGCCACTGTGGCTTACATATGTTGACATTGGTTTTCACATATTTTTTCCAAACGGTATCGGCTCATCCGGGTGAGTGCCCCATAGCCTGGTCGGGTTTCATCGCCTGCTCGTTCAGCAAGCCTAGCTCCACAGCCATGCCGTTGCGGACAGCGTTGACAGAAATGTTGGGCATCGAGCATCCCATAATCCAAGGAGGCAAGGCATCATTCAGGGCTGACGGCCGGACTCGTAAAGCCAAAACACATCAAATCTTTACATGCGTGGTTGATGATTACCCTTTGTGCAAGTAGTTGGCTAGTTAGTGAGTCAGTCGGTATTAATTAGTTAGTTAGTTCGTTTGTTCGTTAGTCAGTTAGTTGGTTCGTTAGGTAGTCAGCTAGTTAGTCAGTCAGTTAGTCAGTTAGTTACTGTGCTAGTTAGTTGTTTTGCTAGTTATTCCCCACCTGTCAGGTGAGGGTTGTTAGATTTTACGTCAGCCCCATCTCCTCCTCCTCCTCCTTCTCCTCCTCCGCGCCCTCCTCCGCCTCATCCTCCTCCGCCGGACCTCAACCACGACCATCCACGCCCAGTGTTCCCTGCCGGACCTCAACCACGACCATCCACGCCCAGTGTTCCCTGCCAGACCTCAACCACGACCATCCACGCCCAGTGTTCCCTGCCGGACTTTCAACCGCGAGCTCCAGACCCAAGTGTTCCCTGCCGGACCTCAACCACGACCATCCGCGCCCAGTGTTCCCCGCCGGACCTCAACCGCGACCATCCGCGCCCAGTGTTCCCCGCCGGACCTCAACCACGACCATCCGCGCCCAGTGTTCCTTGCCGGTGTTCCCTGCCGGACCCCAACCGCGAGCTCCAGGCCCCAGTGTTCCCTGCCGGACCTCAACCACAGCACACAACCACAACCACAATCACACGCACAACCACAAACGCAACTACAGACACACAAACACAAACACAAAAAACAACCACAAACACAACCACAAACACACAACCACAAACACAATCACAAACGCAACCACAAGCGCAACCACAAACACACAATCACAAACACACAACCACAAACACAACCCAAAACGCACAACCACAAACACAAACACACAACCACAAACACAACAAGCAACACACAACCACAAACACAACAACAAACACACAACCACAAACACACAACCACAAACACAACCACAGACTCACAACCACTACCATTACGACGACGACACCGACGACGACGACTACTACTACTGCTAACAACTGCCACTACTACTACTACTTCTTCTACTACTACTCTACTACTACCACTACTACCACCACGACGACAACTACTGCGACTCGACGACGACGACTACTACTACCACTACCACTACTACTACTACTACCACTACTACCACTACTACCACTACTACCACTACTACCAC